TACATCTTAATTTAGTCTTCAGAAGTCTCAAGTTCACATGAGAATTCAAAGGATTTCTGGCTCTCAATCAAAGTGAATATTTATTGAATTCTTGGGGGGGGGTGTATATATATGTGTGTGTGTTTTCTGTCAATAATGTTATTTGTCCAGCACCAATTTTCTGATGGGGGATGGCACCCTGTCCCATATTTCCATCCGTTTAATTATATTATATTTTCATACTGAAAGTTACATTCTTTTCTCTCTACACATCTTAAGAATGATATTTTCCTTTTAATGGCCAAGTGTTAACATCTCATCTTGGTTAGTTAGAATCACATCTATGTTAAATTATACCTCAAAGCTTTATGTTTCAACTTCCAATTCATACATACTACTGCTTTGGTGATATAACTGTAACCAGAACTGGATTGCTCACTCACCATTAAAACTTAACTATAAGATACTTTCCTTTTTAGTTGGAAACTGTGAGTTGATGTTTTGGGAAAGATCCCACTCACTTCCTTTTCTTTCTTCTAAGTTCTATTGCAAGTACATTTAAAGTCTTTCTTTTGGAATCAAAGAAGAAAGACTTCCTTTGATTATACTTTCTTTAAATTAAATGCACACATCATCAACTAATAATATAACATTTCTAATTATTGACTAGTGGATTTAGCAAATAAGAAATTGCCTGTATGTTATTGTGCTAATGTGCCAGAATGCAAATATTTAGGCATTTAGAACTTGCATATTAAAGGTGAACTGGATTGCATACTGAAGAACTTAAATTTTCCAGATTCTCTTGTGATCAAAATTTGTCATGCAATAATGGCCAGGTGTGACACAGGCCAATTACTGGTGTTTCTTTGTGGAAACTAAAAGATCAATGAATCAAAAGAGCAAAGCTGTCCACTGGGTGATGACCAAGGCATATTCTTCTCCAAGAATATTTAGTGAGCACCTGAGTCCATATGAGAACTTGATTGGCTATTCTTTTATTGGATTCCAACATTGTGGTCTAACTTGATATATATATATATTTGATTGTTACAGAAATTATATTCATTTTGAATGAGCAGAAAAGGAAATATTCTTTTGGTGGTTCCGCCACTTCTTGAAGATAGCGGAAAATATACCTTCCTTCTAACTCCAAGGTTCTGAAGACACCAGTCTCCCAGTGAGCTTGTGTGTCCACAAGATGGTGCCCTTGTGCTGGGAAAAAGCCCATTCCAGAATGAAGCAACATTGGGAATAAAAATATCAAAAATCAATATTGTTCATAAATTTTAGATAACAATTTAGACTACCTATGAGTATCCATTGTCTAAGAAAACCATGTAAAAGCACCCTAGATCGATAGGTGACTTGGAGGCACACACACTACACTTAAGTACCCATACAAAAATCTATTTATGGTAGTCCATAGAACTAATTGGCCATAGAACTATAGTACTGGGTAGTTTAATCTGAAAATGGCTGTTCTTGAGCAGATTCAGCCTGTCTGCTTATATACAGTGTGTGAATATATAGAAACATTGGTGTCCTATAGGATCTGTGACTTACTTTTATTCAAAGAACAGCTTAGGTACCCAGCAATGCTCAGGCTACATAATTTATAATGATAAATATTAGAAGTAGCCATTGTGTTTTTAAATTTTATTTTATGAATTGTTCCATTTGAAAATGCATTGGGGTATGGGTAAACTACAACTTCTCTCATCATCTGTCATTGCTCCCAATCTGCAAGTTGGTCATGTTGGGTATATGTGCCAAGTTTGATCCAGAACCTTTTTTGGCGGTGGTCCCAGTGATCTCTCTGGATGAGGGGTGAACTGTAATTCCCACAATCCTGGGCAGACCTTTCACAGATTCCTCCAGTATTTAAAGTTGGCGGGTATGTGTGCCAACTTTGGTCCAGACCCATCATCGTTGGGGTTCACAGTGGTCTCTGGATGTGAGGTGAACTGCAACTCCCATAATCCCAGGTCAATCCCACCTCCCAAATCCCTCCAGTATTTTCTATTGGTCTTGTTGGTTATGTGTGACAGATTTGGGCTAGAATATTAAAAAATCTGTAGTTGTTTGGGAGGATTTTTTTGTAGGTGAATTTGGAAAGATAATCTTTAGATCTCTGTAATTTGGAATTGAGTTTTAAGATTTTGCTTGAAATTAAAGACAGATTGTACTAAATATTTATGATGTGCCACATTTCAGCATAAGCAGTGCTCTTTCAAGATGTCAAAAATGTTCCCAAACTGATTTCATTGTTTGAGTTCCTTCTCCTTGCCTTTTTGTTGGCATCTACTTGTCATTTTTTAATTGTTTATTCCCAGTGACATAATCCAGTTGATCAGGAAATGGCTAGCCAATGTAGTGATGTCATAGCTGGACATTTTCAATCAGATTTAATTACATGTTGACATAACCAGAACTAAATCCAAGTGAGGACTGTGCTTGATCCCTTAAGAATTGATAGATAAATGTGTTCATTTAATTTCCTTCAAACATGTACTGAAGTGATGGGGTAAAATCACTGGGCAACATTTTTGTGGCTTCCACTGTGTTCACCAGAAAAATATTCCTGAAAAAAGTGACAGGCCTTTTGGCATATGAATATTGGCTTAAGTATTGTTCTATTTTTTCATTCATTTTGTATGGTTTCTCCGTTCTTTTAATTATTTTGAACTTGTCATTTGTCTGAAATGTAAGACTCACTCTGAGATCTAGTGGGATAAGATTATTTTAGTTAATACAGTATTTCTTCAATTCTGAGATGCCCTTTCACCCCATATAAACATCTCTAAAACAGGGTGTGTCTTAGAATTGCCCATGCTTTTATAAAGCTCTTTTTGGTGGTGTTAAAATTAGTGTGCCTTCCCAGGGTCCAACTTTTATATCTTGCTTTATGTGGTTCTTCAGGTCAACTAGGGCAATCCAAAACTAAGGTAATTTAATAGTCCTTAATTCTGTTTTTGAAAGTTAAATTGGCAAAAAAGGACAAATATGAAGATCTTTAAAGAAATAAGGGATGATCTCTTTAAAGTTTAATCCCATTTGAAGATTTTTGTGTGTGTCAGGAGTGACTTGAGAAACTGCAAATCGCTTCTGGTGCGAGAGAATTGGCTGTCTGCAAGGACGTTGCTCAGGGGACGCCCGGACGTTTAGATGTTTTACCATCCTTGTGGGAGGCTTCTCTCATGTCCTCGCATGAGGAGCTGGAGCTGATAGAGGTCATCCATGCTCTCTCCAGATTCGAACCTGTGACCTGTCAGTCTTCAGTCCTCAGGGGCTCCCCATTTGAAGATAAGAGCCTGTTACTAGTGAGCAGTATACAAATGAAATCTAAATACCACCTAATTACTTTTTTGAAAGAAAAAAAGCTATAGCTGGGTTTTATTAAATTTGTATGAAAAAATATGGAGGTATTAAGGGAGACATATAAGTAGGACCAATTAAGTGTTGCAAATTAAGTGTTAGCTTACAGATTCTCCAGAATTTATCACTGGGCACATTGGGTAACCTTGGACAAGTTGCACTCTCTCAGCCTCAGATGATGGCGATGAAAAACCTCTTCTGAATAAATCTTGTGAAGAAAACCCTGTGATAGGGTCACCTTTGCAGGTCTGTAGCCAGGAAATGGGGGATTTTAAGGGTTCACCCTTCTTCGAAATGTTTCAGGTTAAAAAACAAAAACCTGCTGTACTCGTGAATTCTAACTGGTTAACCAATTCATGAGTAAACCAGGTTTTTTTTTTAAAAAAAACCTGAAACATTTGGAGGTGGGGGTTGAACCCTTACCCTCCCTCCTCTGCTACAGACCTGAACCTTTGGGTTGTCATATGTTGGAGATGACTTGAAGGCACACAGCAACAAGAAACAATGGTTGTAAAACTAGAAGATAAGGAAACAAACTAATAATATAGTCAGATGAATTGGCTTTTTAGTGTATGTCATTTTCTACAGGCTCAAGTAAAGAAAAACTGTATCTTTCAACTTGTTCAAGGTTTCACTTCATCTCTGTGACCTAACAGGTGAAAGGGATAGACCCTGATATCCTGAGAATATGTATTAAATTCTGGTAGTCCATGATTTTAAAACAAAGAAATAATTTAGTGAAGTTTTATTTAAAATATTCTCTAACTTACTTGTCTATGGCAGGGCTTCTTAAACTTTTTTCCAGTTGTGGTCCCTTTTCTCCTGAGAACTTTTTATGCAACCCTGGATATATAGATATAGAAAATAGGTATAGAAATAAAACATTATTGATAATAAATTGCAATTAAATTTATATTAAAATAATTATTTGATATACATATTTGACAATTGATTAAAGATCAAATCAAATTTGCATACTAATGAATTGGATGTGCTTGTTTATTTTTACATGAAGAATTCAATCTTGGCAGAAGTATCAGAATTGATTGCTATTATGATTTTATAATCGCCAATTCTGAGAACTCCTCTTGGCCTAAATGTGTAGTACATTTCAGAAATTGTTGCAAATTCTGCCCTAAACCCAAGACAAAATTCATTTAACATTTTAAAAGGAAACTCAAATTTTAAACCTTTGTTGCTTGATAACTAGGGAAATGCTTCCTGAACAGGAGGTGGCTGTTTTTTTTTATTACAATTGAGTATGATTTATGAACTCAACTTAGTTTTTTTAGGAGCAATATTTGAAGGGAAGAATTTCTGAAACTGAAAACATCAAGCAGAATCAGCATTTGCAAAGCTTTCTAAAGAAGGGGGGCTGATTTTCCCTTTTTAGGAAGTACAGCTGAAGCATTTGCTGCAGAATCCAGTGTTATAAACTGCACACTGTTGTTAACAGATTAATGTCAACGTCTAAAACGGACACCAGGTGGAATTCAGAAACATTTTACTGTTGCCAATATTTTTTGCAACCCCCACAGTCAGTTATGCAGCCCACAGTTTAAGTAGCTTTGGTCTGTAGTATAACGAGAAAGAAGTGTGAATGTGGAAGAGAGTTGTGGATTAATATCTTGTATCCTCTATAGCTATTTCCTGGAAAATGGATGATGATGACTTTGGAGGATTTGAGGTATGCAGCTAATATCTATTTTACATATTATTTTGCATAACTTAAAATTTGATTTTACTGATTTCTTAGAAGGATGGAGGGATTTGAAGGGCTAGCACTGAAGCACTTCATCATGTTTAATTGGGGGAGGGGGAGGTGGTGGCTTATGATTCTCCTGCAACCTTAATTTTTTGGCTGTATGTATGTGATCCCCCACCCCACGGCACTAGCACCCTGCAGTTTCTCATTATTGTCACTTTTCGTGTCTTATTAATCTATATTGGAGAATTGGAAGATGAAAGCACCTACCTGTTTAAGGTTCTTTCATCCTTTAAAAAAGTGAAATATTGCTTTCCTTGGGGTAGGGGGCATTTTGGAGACTTGAAGGAATAGGCAGGAAAAAAAAAGGATACTTAACATCATAAAATCGCCAATAACATCCTCAGAGTCTTTGGAGAGCCTGTTGACCATTGAGGCCAAACCTTTTCTTTCCCATCCAAATTGTTTTGGGGATGGGCAGAATATAGAGAGAGTGACTTATTGGAGCAACGAGGCACAGTCCTTGCCAGTTGCACACCCCAATCAATTTATCTGGTTTAAATTTGAGTTGGCCGTTATGAATGCTTCCAATGTGTTTAGTTTTAAATTGAAACATTATGAATTGCTATATTCTGTTTTATCATATTTTCTTTTTAAATTTTCTTACTCCTTAAAGTGTGTTTTAATTGTCAAATTTTGGATATTAACCGCATTTGAAAATTATGAGTATACATACTCATATGTTGGTGATAATTGAATTGTTTGTTTTGTCATTTGAAGGCTCCATTAAGTTGTGGATAAATTCAAGCTAGTTACAGATCTCCCTGAATTGTTAGTTGTTTGAGTAAGGCCCTTGGTGCTTTTGGAGCCCAAATGTAATTGTGGATGAAATGTATTATGAATTTTCAGATCACAAATGGTGAATTTAGAAGGAAATATTTTTATCATCCCCCCCCCCCCAACACCCAGTGAAGAGCTAAAATTGTTTGCACAATTAATGGAGGTGGGGATGAGCCTATTGTGATGCAAAGCATAGTATATACATATTTTTAAATAAATAAATATAGTTTAGCTGCCAACTTTGACAGTCTTACGCACAAAAGTTCAAGATATGAAATGGTAAAACTATTTTATTAAGTGAAGTACTGTCTAGATTACTGTAAATGAAATACCAAGCGTGCATGATCAAGAGAAACTGTTGAAAAGTGCCTGCCTTGAATTTTAACAGTATGCCTTGCATTTTTCAGGCAGCAGAAACTTTTAAAGATGGGAGTGGTGAACCACAGACTACTTCTCCTGCTATTCCTTGGGCAGCATTTCCTGCAGGTATTTAAATTTAGTTGTGGAGAAAGGGAAAAGGAAGAGAGGGAATTTCCCTCTATCCTTTTTATCATCTTACCCTTCTGGGTAATAGCAGTAAAAGAAGAGACAATGGAATGGCACATATTGACTTGGAACTATATTTGTTGTTGGTACTCGGTCTCTTACAACTTACTATCCCAGGCCTGTTAGTTTTAAAATCAAAAGTGGGTTTTGGAAGTAATATTCCAGAGCCTCCATCCAAATTAATTTGGCGTGCGCCTATACTCATGACTTTCTACTGCAATTTTTCGCTCTAAATGGCAATGTAAAGCAAGAGTCTGTGGCAGTTTTTTTTTCCTTTTCAATGGCTCCATGAAAACCCTACAACTGTAGTTTGGTTGGATTCTCCCATTTGGTGTTGTGGCAGTTGAACGTCCCATGGCAAAAATGCACATAAATAAATAAAATTTGTGTCATGTCACAGTTTTGTCCTGGTAGGTTTCTTGTCCATTTTTTCCATTATTATGTGCAGTGCTGTTTAAGAAAACATTCTCTTCAATGGCATTCCTTTTTGTTTCCTATTTTTTTTATTTAAATACAGTATCTGAAATCCATGTGCCTCAAACATTTTCTTCTGAGGTTCTTCTGGAGCAACCTGTCACTTCCTCCTGCTTGGTTTCTTCTCACGTAGCTGTTTCTTCAGTTGATGATACTCAGATAGATAGTCAGCCTTCGACCAGTGTTTTAAATGCAGATGATCCGGAAAAGCAGGTAAAAACGACCGGACAGGATAAGACAATGGACTTCTGGCAGAATGGCAGAAATCAGTGGTAGTAGTATCCCCCCCCCCCCCCCCCCCCGGAACTGCAGATAATAATTTACACCAGAACTGGCTCTAGGATGTTGACAATCTCTGGAGAAGTTTTTCGAATAGTGTATGTAGAGGCTGTCAAGGAAAGGAAGGGGAGAAGAAAATTCTGTTGTCCCTTCCAACCTTATATATTTATTTTTTCAATCAAACCAGATATGTTTAATCTGCAATCCCATACCCATTTATTTGGAAGTGTGGCCACTGATCTTATCCCAGTAAGCATGGGTAAGATTGAAAGGTGAACCTCTTTGCTGAGAGATTATTTGGCAGGGAGAAGAGTGAAAAAAATTTTTAGGCTGCAATATTGATTCCAGGTTCTTTTTTAATCTCTAAAAAGCAAGTGGAGTTTGTTGAAACCCTGGAACAACTTAAAAAGTAAGACCTTTTAGTATTTAGCCACAGTTAGATTTCGGTGAATCATAAGAGCCAACGTTTTCATTCTGTTTTAGCCTATGGCAAGGTGATATGTGTATTTTGAAACAGAAATTGATATTAATAGAACTGAAATGATCAAATTTTCAATATTTTATATTTTCCTATAGTTCCATGGGATGTAACAGTAATCTTAATCTTTCATTTTGTATATACACTACTAGCACCCAGGGAATCACTTCAGGTGGTTTTAAAGACTCAGGCATACTTGGTCATAGTATTACTTTCCCCTCTCCACAATCAGATGGCTCACTATATCATCTTGTTTTTGCCATGTACCTCTGTGGCAAAGTGCTTGGCTTTGCTCTTGGGTCAAGTGGGGAATGCTTTATGGGAAACAGCCTGAGGTTACTTTGGGGCATACAGAGTGAGTTGTTGGGTTCTTTGGAATATTACAACTATGCCCTTTCTTTACGTTAGTCTGGAAGAATATCTTGCATACAACTAGAATATAAGGCATCGTCTGGGAATGTGTGAATATTGTGCAGCATTGTAATTTTATTTTGTAATTTTTACATTTTTTTTCCTTCTGAAATAGGCTCCATTATCAACCTCTCCCTCTTTGGAAGTAGTGGTTTCCTCTTTGAATCTAACTGAAGATTTAGAAGCAGTGACAGATGAGAATGGTGATGAAGAATTGGGATTGAAGGATTCAAATAAGCATTTTCAACAAACTTTTTCAAGTCTAGAAGTTAAACTTGCTGATGACGAAAAATGTAGAATAAAACAGGTAGCGTTACAACTGTGTAGAATCATTCTTTTAAATTTTTGAATCGTTTCATTATGATTACAGATGGCAACAGTAACCACATAAATGTTATCTAAACCTTTCCAGTTCAATTTCTTGTCTTTAGTAGCTGTTAATCTTGACATTCTAACCAAGTGGTTCTCAACCTGTGGGTCCCCAGATGTTTTGGCCAGTAACTCCCAGAAATCCCAGCCAGTTTACCAGCTGTTAGGATTTCTGGGAGTTGAAGGCCAAAACATCTGGGGACCCACAGGTTGAGATCCACTGTTTTACCCATTTTGCTTTCTTTTCATGTTTAGTATTCTGACTCAGTGTGGTAAATTTGAAAAAAATCAGGGTGTGTTTTGAGAACAAGGTTGAAAAACACTATTTTATTGGTGTTCTGGGGTCTTTCATTTAATTATAAAGCTAACGAATTTCTTAAAGTGACTAATGCTGCTGAACGTAAACACAGCACCTCATTGATCCTTATCACAGGGATTGACTACCATATATATTTGTGTAAATGTCCACCTCATATATAAATTGAGGGTGCATTTTCAGACCAAAACTATAGATTTTGATATGGAGAGGGAAGTGGCAGCGTCCCTTAGAGGGCCAGCTAACTCTGGTTGCAGCTGCTGTTTTTTTTCCAGTCCAGGCATTCAAAAAGGTGTGACATAATGCTAGATATTTATTCCAGTCTTCTCTCCACATTTACAGGGGAGTATTTACTGATTTGATTCTTTGCAGATTACTATATTGGTTGCCGCCTCTGGCAACCAATATAGTGACTGAAAAAAAATCTCTTTAGGTGTTTCTAGATCAGCGTTTCTCAATCTGGGGATCGGGAGCCTTGGTGGGGTCATGAGGGGGATGTCAGAGGGGTTGCCAAGGACCATAAAAAAACACAGTATTTTCTGTTGGTGATGGGGGCTCTGTGTAGGAAGTTTGGCCCAATTCTATCGTTGGTGGGGCTCAGAATGCTCTTTGATTGTAGGTGAACTATAAATCCCAGCAAATACAACTCCCAAATCTCAAGGTCTACTTTCCCTAAACTCCACCAGTGTTCACATTGGGCCATATTGAATATTTGTGCCAAGTTTGGTTCAGATCCATTATTGTTTGAGTCCACAGTTCTCTCTGGATGTAGGTGAACTACAACTCCAAAACTCAAGGTCCGTTTCCACCAAACCATTCCAGTATTTTCTGTTGGTCATGGGAGTTCTGTGTGCCAAGTTTGGTTCAATTCCATTGCTGGTGGAGTTCAGAATGCTCTTTGATCATAGGTGAACTATAAATCCCAGCAACTACAACTCCCAAATGACAAAATCAACCTCTATCAGTATTCAGATTTGGGCGTATCGGGTATTTATTGCCCAATTTAGTCCAGTGAATGAAAATACATCCCGTGTATCAGATATTTATGTTATTATTCATAACAGTAGGAAAATTACAGTTATAAAGTAGCAACAAAAATAATTTTATGGTTGGGGGTCACCACAACATGAAGAAATCTATTAAGGGGCCGTGGCCTTAGGAAGATTGAGAAACACTGTTCTAGATCCTCCAGCACTAGATGACATAGAAATGTCTAAAGAGAAGACTTCCTCCTCCCATCTCATCTGTTGCTGCTGCTTCAGGCACTGCCAACAATACCTCCTTGACCTGCAAAGGCCCATGCTCACAGTCCAACTCCTTCACCAGCTCTGACAGTGCAGTACATACTCCTCTCCCTTAGTTCCTGGGCCCCAATGCTGCTGTATGGCTGTTCCAAAGCTGTTGCTTCCACCAGTCCCCAGCCCATGTGCCCATTCTGCTGCCCAGGAACCCAAAGAGGGGACTGTATTTCCACCACCAGAGCCAGTGTATATTGTCATTCTTGATCTATCTAAGAATATTGTGTGGCTGGTTGGCCTAGCATTTCACAACACAGTACTTTTTAAATATTACTATTTGTTTGATTGTTTGTTTATTTTAGGAGTTAAAAGATCTTTTGGGAAAATACAAAATTTTGGAAACAGATTTTCTCAAAGAAAAGGAAGATAAATTAATTTCACATCAAGAAGAGTACAACAAGATCCAGGTAATGGCCTTTCTTTTTCATAAGGCTATATGTGGTCCTTTGTAATGTTCTACAATATTCAAGCTTGAGTCAAATTATATTAAGGAAGATACTCAAATTCTTTTTCAGTAAAATTATGGGCAGAATCGTTCTTTCACCTGCAAATTACATTTAAGGAATCAACAAATATCTCCCTCTCCACTGTGTCTTGACAATAATTATTAACTTCCAAAAGGGAAAATGGCATCCTATGAGCAATACTATATTCGCTCAGTACATAGAGACGGAAGAAGGAAATACACAAATATTTTAAGATCACACGTTGTTTGAACTTCAAGGGAATTAAGTAACTAGAATAGCTCTGGATTGCTTTGAGCTATATCACCATGTTCCAGAAACATTCTCTCCTTATGTTTTGCCCACATCTATGGCAGGAATCCTCAGAGGTTGTGACATCTGTTGGAAACTAGGCAAGTGAGGTTGATATATCTGTGGAATGTCCGGGATGGGAGAAAGAACTCTTAGGATGAATGTTGCAATTGGCCACCTTGATTAGCATTTAATAGCCTTGCAGCTTCAAAGCCAGGCTGGTTGCTGTCTGGGGATCCTTTGTTGGGAGGTGTTAGCTGGCCCTGATTGATTCTTTTCTGGAATTCCCCTGCTTTTTAAGTGTTGCTCTTTATTTACTGTCATTTACCTCATTATTTACCTCATTGTCTATTAGGGAAGGGAAAAACGTAATGCAGCAAACATTGAACATACATTCAAATCACACAGATCCATTTCTGATACTGGTAGAAGTTCACCAGCATATTCTTATAATACCATGTTGCTACTACTTTCTTTCTTTTGCAGCACTTTTCTTCAGTATAACCAGTGAACTGTACAAAGTTAATGAACCAAGATAGTTTTCAAAAATGTGACAGTCCCATTAATGTAATCCACCACCACAAGCAGCTCTCCATCAGCACACAATTAACTTAGCCCTTTGGGAAGGAGATATACACTAGTCTATAAATTAGGAATTAGCCAGTTCTGCTAGCAGAAAGGGGAGATGTTTTTTCCTCACAAAGTGGACAATCTTAAGTGAAGTTTAGGATAAGTGCTGAGAACACATATTCTGCAACTTCAGTGCCAATGACTATGCCTCAAAACCAGCCTTTATTTTACTACTATTTGCCACACTAAAAATGTTTTTAGTAATAACATGACTTGAATGACAGTAATAACATTACATACTTTATATGCCAGAAACAGAAACAAGTATCTAAATTTTCAGTTGAAACTTACCCATAAAACTAGGAAAAGTTTGGGTTCTTTTCTTTTCCACTCTTGATTTTAGACTCCAATCAGCAGGGACAATGATTTTGGAACCAGCAGCATACTATAGGTCAGGGGTCCTCAAACTTTTTAAGCAGAAGGCCAATTCATGGTCCTTCAGACTGCTGGGGGGGTTGGCCGCAGAATATAGATTGAAAAAAATGAATTCCTATGCACAGAATACATATCTTGTCATGCAAAAAGTGTAAGAACAATACAATATTTAATATTAAGAATAATTTTAACCAACATAAACTTATCACTATTTCAATGGGAAGTGTGGATCTGCTTTTTTTAATTAGGATAGTTGTTGTGTGCTTTTGAGTCATTTCAGACCCCTGCTATAGGTAAAGGAAATGTAAAATGTATTGAAATGATAGACAATATTTTGAAAGGTGGTACATAATTATAAAACAGTGAGTAATATATACATCCCATTTGATTTTGGAAGATAAGCAGGGTCAGCCCTGGCTAGTACTTGGATAGGAGACCACTAAGAAATAGGGTATTGTATGCCCTATTTCAAAGAAAGTAACTGACCAAATCATCCCTGAGTATTCCTTATCTGAGAAAATCCAACAAAATCAATAGGGGCACCATAAATTGACAGCTTAATTGAAGCCGCATGTCCACAGACACACTTTTGTTATGGCTACAGCATAACAACTTAAACAACTTTAATATGGCTAGCAAGTTAGAACATAGTATTGTCTAAGCATATCTCTGAAATAGACTATGGGGCATGATAGATCTGTTACACTGACTAGCATTAATGAAATAATGAAGGAAACAGTAATCCAGATGAATGACAAGTAAGAGTTTAAGAAAACCAGAATAAGTCTCAAAATCTTAACTTTATTAAACATCTGTACTTGCCTAGCAAATGTAAGCATTTTGAAGTCATATCTACCACTCCTATGAAAACAGTTCAGAATTCTTTGATGGTTCAACAAAAGTTTTAAACAAGTTAGACCTGAATAACAAACCAAGCACAGATTGTCTGGCAAATAAAGTTGTCCATACATCTGTTTCTCCACTTCCTAGCTGGCCATTTTTCGTTGCTTCTAATACAGTAAGGAATATGGTCATGTTCCTGTTCTTCTGATAGGCTTCTTACTGGTGATTGACTGATTATGGTACACATAGAAAATAGGACTAGTGTGACTTTTAGTCTGATCTAGAATTGCTCTTTAGGTGTTACTCTCATCCACAAACAATACAAATCAACACATGGCCATGACATTTTTCTTCATAGTTCAGTAGCAAGTTGTATACACAACTAAAAAGTTTGAAGTTGTGAATCTTTTGCACTGATACCAGAAGAATATGGTTTTACAGCAATAGTGTCCTCAGTTACTGAAAACGTTACCATTAAACCATTTCCATGTATATATTTTTTCTGGACATGGAAAGGGTCTAATCATTTCCTGAAGGTTTCAGCTCATAGAGCCTCCCAGCCAATATGGTCCCATCCCTTGAACCCAGTCATGAAGAAGATTCACCAGTGTTGGCACCAGTGATCTGAGAGAAAAGAAAAGCCTCCTCTTCCAATCAGAGCAGTGGTTCTCAACCTGGGGTCCCCAGATGTTTTTGGCCTACAACTCCCAGAAATCCCTGCCAGTTTACCAGCTGTTAGGATTTCTGGGAGTTGAATGCAAAAAACATCTGGGGACCCCAGGTTGAGAACCACTGAATTAGAGGATGACTAGCATGGTTAAAAGAATCTATGCTGTTATCTTCAATGAGGACTACACTATGACCAATGAATTTAACCTCAAAAGATTCCTCATTCCTGATTTGAAGGAATATAATATGATTGTATATAAGTGCCCCATTAGAATCCATGTACATTTTAGTTATATGCATATTTCTATATTTCTTTTCTATTGTGCTGCAAATCTTGATAAATGCTTACCCCAAATCTCTTCATTATTACTGTATTTTTCTGGTGTATAAAATTACTTTTTAACCCAAGAAATTCTTCTCAAAAGTCAGGGGTCATCTTATTCGCGGGAGTAGTCTTATATGCTGGCGTAGTCTTATAAGCCGGGAGTCGTCTTATAGAGCAGGTGCTGAAACTTCCAGTCCGGATTGGAGAATCTGTGGTTGCCGTATATGGTGGGGGGAGCTCAAAAATGGCAGTGGCCGTGTCCCTGCTGTATGCAGCGACTGTATGAAAGTATTAAGGGTGACACTGTACAAGTACGGGAGAAGAAAATCCATTCATCAGGATTTGTCGACTTAATACGGTCCTGATGGTGAGGTGAAGGGGCATCTCATCAGGAAGGTGTAAGTGTAAGATGGAGCAAGCTGCAGGCATCCAGGATGCCCGGGGTATGAAAAAAAGAGATAGAGCGGAGTTGTGCCCAGAAAAACATGCCTCTTCCACCCATCTGTCCTGCCGTTGTATCCTATTACCATACCTCCTTCTCTGCCTCTCAGATCTTGCTCCTGAGGACTGCAGTGAAGCGATGCAGGCGCGCATATGCGAGATCTGAGAGGCAGAGAAGGAGGTACAGTAATAGAAAAATTACCATATTGTAATCAAATCTGATGCTTTTTAAATTTTTATTTGGTGTGCGTTGGAAGAAGGGTAGTCTTATACGGCGAGTATATCCCAAACTCTATATTTTAACTGGAAAAGTTGGGGTCATCTTATACGCCCAGTCGTCTTATATGCTGGAAAATACAGTAGTCTGGATTGCTGGGATGTAGTAGGTGTTCGAACAATATCAGGTGATAAACAGGTTCACCATCATAGTTCTAGGCACAATCATTTTTAGCTTCTGTGTGCTTATGCCAAGGACCTAACAATGACCATTTGGAATGTTGTTTGGATGGATCATTGAACAGCATAAAATGTTGTATAGCCTTTTATTCCAATTCAGTTTTGTCTTCAGTTTTTTGCTTTCTGTAGTACTGAGGCTAGCACCTGTGGCCACACGCAAAGTAAACTTGGTAAATGAAAAATACTCAGCAACATTTTTTCCAGCAGAAACAGCTGAGTATTAACACTCATCAACAGTTAAGAAAGAGGCAACATGAATCAGTGACTAAGGAAGCCTTGGTAACATTCCAGATAGTTTGTAGGTGGCCAATTCTGTCTTACAACTTCTGTTCGCTTTTAGTAAAAATAGCAAAATATTTTGTAACGCTTTCAGAAGCTTAACAAAATTATTATAGTGTAAAGCTTTCATGGCCAAAAATAGGTGTGGCAAGTCAGTTTGTTTGAGCTTTTCTGTGTGTCTTTTTCCACAAACCTCCAGTGCCTAACTATTGGTACAACTGCGAACTTCTTTGTTGGCATTGATATTGACACCTGCACTTCTAAATTAATGCCTATTTTATTTCAAATGATTCTGGTGTATTTATGATATATGCATGTTGAACTATTTAGAAATTCACGTGCCACCAGCAATATAATGTTGTTTCATCATTGTCGTATGAACAAAGGTGTAATACCATTATATGTGCTCACGCATCAAGCTCTATCCTCTATCAGGAGGGACTACTGGCCTGTCTGGTTCCATATATGCACTCTTTGCCCCTGGAGGAAAGCAGGAGGCTGATGTGGAGCATTGGGTGTTTGTTGAATCCTTCCACAGGTAATCACTGTGACAATGGATGGGATGATTTGTCAGCAAGAACAAGTGTAGGCAGCCATGTGAGTGATGCACCTGACTATCACGTAAGAGTAACTA